TTATAATTAAATTATTTTCTAGGTAAAAAAATATGGAAAAATATTTAAGTTTTGAAAAATGGCAGATTACTGAGGCAGAATTCAGTGCAAATACAGAAGCTAGTACTACGACTGGTACAGTAAAGAAAAAACATGGAAGAGTACAGTGGATATTCAATGACGAACAGCAACTGCAATTTACTGCAGCGGAGCAAAACGAAAATGCTGTTTGTTGTATTCAAACTGTTAAGACAACACAGTAGACAATACTTAAGACAATATTTAGATTTATGTAATTTTTCAGCAACTTAGTGAGTTTAAGTTAAAAAAGAGTCCACAAAATTAGTCATATGAAATGAGAATTAAATTTCTAACAAAAACAACTTAAACAATTTTTAACAGGATCTGAGTTTGTAAACTTGGCCAGCTATAAAATAGCTTGATTCTTGCACACAAACACACACACAAAAGATCTTAGATGGGGAGATAATAAAAAGAAATTATCATCTTAGCTATCATAATTCATTTAGAAAATTATGTGGAAAAGACTTTAAAAGACATTCACAAAAAGTGAAATTTTCAATTAAACCATTAAACAATTTTGCTCATAGTATGTACATGAGCTAAATATATTTTGCTCATAGAATATACATTTCTAATAATACCAAATATCAATTGATTGATTCAAAATTTGAAAATTTTCAAGTATTTTTCTTTAGCTTTAGATGAATGGTATAAGATGCTGCCCAAGAAAAACACTGGGTGTATTGTCTCAAAGAACATCTAAATTTACAAAGAAATATCAATTCATTGCATAAAAACTCACACTCATGACAGATATTTTTGACAATTTCCTATCTGTTAAGAATTTTGGCTAGAGATAGAAAAATTGGTTTCTATCATGAAGGTGGAACTCCACCTGTTACGTCAAAAGACCAGAGTACTGGAATTTTAAAGCAAGAGAATAACTTTCCCCTCGTTGCTTCATGCCATATAGCACAGACTGAAAATATGTGTGTGGTTTTCTTAAGCAGACTCCAAGAAGAATCATGGATACACATTAAAATTCTTCAGTACATATGTACAAATGCTATAGAATAATCATTGCCAGTTTATGGAACTAATGAAAAAGATAATGTATTTAATGATTTTGTGTTGTTTACCAATGTTACTTGAATGACTTACAAAAGAGCTTTATAAAGATTTCCTACACTAAAAAATCCAATTCAAGGTTTCCTTGAAACAAAAGGAGGCTTGCAAAATATTTAATAATCAAAGACAAAAAGTGGCACTGTGATTCATATTTTCTCTCTAATATCACACTGCATGGGAACAAGCTAAATTTGAAGCTCCTAAAATGGGAAAAACTTGTAATCTAGCTAGACAGGTAAAAGAATTTATTTACAAGTGAAAACATTTCATAATATAAACAAAGCATAATGACTTTACATATTTTTCAAGTAAGTCAATATGCAGACAACTTTACACGTAATCAATAACATGGTGTAAACTGGCTGAAAAAAAATCTGAAGAATGATTTGTTGGTATTGATAAACTTAGTTTCCATTTATGCAATACTTCATCAACTTTGATGTTAATAATACTGAGTTGACATAACAGCTACTAAATGTAGACATCGTTTTGAAACTGATGTTTTTGCTTCAAAATCAAATCAATTATTCTAACAAAAAGCTAAACAGTTTTGTTATGTGGACACAAATATCAAAGGAAATAATTTTTAATTCTTTACTCAGTCATTGGAAAATTCAGTATATTTAAAACAACAAGGTATGTTCAGAAGTATGTGAATCTACTTTTCAACTCCAATTATGAATCAAGTACTTTAAAAGAAAATTTATTGTGTGGATTAAGATGTGCTGCAACTATAAATTATACACTGAGTTTTGGAGGCTTGAAATGATATAAAATATCAAAAATGATATAAAACCTTGTCAGTAATTTTTTACATTGACTACATGTTGAAATAATATTATGGATATATTGGGTAAAATAAAATGTATTTTTAATTTCACCTATTTTCTTTTGCTTTTTAAACACCTACTAGAAAATTTGAAATAACATTTGTGGCTCACATTATGTTCCTACTGGACGGTGTTGAAATAACTTAAACACCTTCCAGTCGGTGTTTTAGAGCCCTGTTCTTAATTATGAAGAGACAGTCAAAGATCATCAGAGGTTTCAGGAATTCCTCCAATGTGAAAGAGAAAGAAAACAGGTAAAAATGCAGAGGAAAGAGAGAATGTGGGGAGAAGAATAACACTAAAAGCCACTATAATTAGCAACCTCAGAGAAAAAAGTATTTCACCCATGAAACAAAAACAGTTATAAAAAAGGAACAGAGAATCAGAAAATATACTTGGAAATAAAAATATGACAACAGAAATAAAACACTTCAAAGATTTAACAGTAGAGGTGGAAGACAAAGTTGACGAAATCTTCCAAAAACTAGAATAAAAAATTAAGACACAGAAAGAGTGACCCAGGAATCCATCTCTCTTCCTACATAATTTTATTGGCAGAAATCATCTAAAGTGATTCTTTTGGAATACATGAGTCTATCTGAACACTTGCGGCTTCCAAGGGAAATTGTGACTGGTAAACTGCAGTTAATAGAGCTGGATTTCAGCCTTTGGTAAAGTAGCAGCTACCCACCCCCAGCCCCCAGCCCCACGGCAGGCAGCTCTGGGGATAGACCCCATGTCTCTGGTTCAGCTTGCTGGAACCAGGGTGAAGAATAAAGACTTTTCCCTCCAGTATTGGGGTTCTGAGTTCTGACTGCAGATGATTACTACTGACCACAGAGGATGAGCAGACACAGAGGCGAGGTGCCATTCTTCCACCTCCATTGGCTTCCAGGGGATTTAAAGGGAAAGCAACTGCTCTTTTGGACATCTGAAACAACTGCATACATAGGAGAATTTAGAAAGCCACTACCACTGCCCAGGGAAACATGCAGCCTCCAAAAAGAACTGGGAAGACTTTCAGCATTAACCGCAGGCTTCCCCGCAGCAGAGAGAGAATCTACAACAATCAAAAAAACACAATAAACCCTGAGGAGGAACAATCCGATTTCCAGAGATCTCACATCATCAGATTCAAATGTCCAGTTTTCAACAACAAAAAATCACAACACATACAAAGAAACAGGGAAGTAGGGATCATTCAAAGGAAAAGAATGAACAAACAGAAAATGTACGTCAGGAAGCCCAGATATCAGATTTGTGAGAAAGACTTTAAAACAACTGCTCAATGAGCTAAAGGAAAGTTCTAATCATATTGATGGATCAAGACAGAAAATGAAGATTTTTCAAAGTAGAAAAAACAAAGGAATATGTATTCATTCACCATTACTTCGGAGGGCAATGCTCTGCTTAGTCCCACTTTACAAAAGGACTATAAACATGTAGAAAATCACTGGGGGACACCCCCAACCCCAAAAGAGCTACAGACACAGTTAGCAAAGCTTGTATATTATCACTCTATAATGGATAAAAATCTGAGAACTCCAACCTAGAACCTCTCAGCATTAAGACTACACAATAAAGCATTCAGGAGAGTTCTCACCAATGTTCTCAACGTGAAAAACTTTTCGCTTGGAAGTTACAACTTACTGAGCACCAGAGGATTCATTCAGGAGAGGAACCTCACAAGTGCCCTCGCTGTGGGAAAAGCTTCTTTAGATCAGACACCAACATAGACACCAACATCTCTACACAGAGCTAAACCCTAAAATGTGCTACATATTATGGAAAGCAATTTCACAGTGTATTTTAAGAGTCCTACAACTCAACGCCAACAAAAAATCTGGCAAAAATAAAAATAAATGGCAAAGAACTTCAACAGACACTTCTCCAAAGAAGATATACAAATGGTCAACAAACACATAAAGATACTAAACATCACTAATCACTATGGAAATGCAAACCAAAACCACAATAAGATACCACTTCACACCCATTAGGATGGTTATAGAAAGAAAAAGAAAGAGAAAGAGAAAGACATGAAGGAAGAAAGAAAGAAAACGTGTTGGCAAGGACGTGGAGATACTGGAACCCTTGTGCGGTGCTGGAGGGAATTTAAAATGGTATAGCTGTACTTCCTCAATAAATTAAACATATGATCCAGCAAATCCACTTCTAGGTATAGACCTTAAAAACAGAAAGCAGTGACTCAAACAAATATTTGTATACCACTGTTCATAGCAGCATTATTCACAGCAGCGAAAACATGGAAGCAATCCAAGTGTCCATCGATGGATGAATGGATAAACAACTGGTATATACATGCAATGAATACTATTCAGCCTTAAAGGGAATGAAATTCCAGCACATGCTACATCATGGACAAACCCTGTAAACATTATGCAAAGTGAAATAAGCCAGACACAAAAAGACAAATATTATATGATTCCATTTCTATGAGGTACCTAAAGTAATCGAATTCATAGAGATAGAAAGTAAAATAGTGGTCACCAGGCACTTGGGAGAAGAGAGAATGAGGGTTACTGTTTAATGAATACAGAATTTCAGTTTGGGATGACAGAAAAGTTCTGGAGATGGACAGTGGTGATAATTGCACAAAAATGTGAATGTATTTAACACCACTGAATTGTACACCCAAAAAGAGTTAAAATGGTTAATTTCATGCTATGTATATTTTACATTAAAAAAGAATTCTAAAATAAACAAATAAATGTGTTGACAGAAGCCTTGACTTGTCCTGGGACCTAAAAGAAATCTCTTCCATAGAAACTCATTAAGAGGAAACATTTTAAAAAGCAAGCCCTTTATTTTAAAGTAAAATGTGTTATAGGGCTGAATTTAATACCTATCAGTGTAGACAAGCAGCTTAACACTAAATACAGCTCAATAAAAGTAATTCTACTAGTTGTCAAAAGAAATTTAAAACCTTTTGATGATCTGACTTAATCCAAAAATGAATTTAAGTATTCTGGGTGATAGGCCACACTGAATGTCTATCTTTCAGGCAATTATACGTACTTAATAACTAAAAACAAGTTTTTGATAAATACTGTGCAGCAGTGTTTGGGTTGACCTCTGTAGCTAGTACATGGTATTCAGAAAGACCATACTGGATAAAGGACTTGGGGTGATGTTCTAAAACAAGATTATGGTTATGGTTGTGCAGCACAGTAAACTTACTAAAACTCACGGGATTGTACACTTTAAATGGTTTTTATGATACATAATTTATATACCTCAATAAAGTTGTAAAAAAGTTTTATGCTGTAGATTCCCAGCTGATATTGGGATCAAATATCCTCTTATAAACGTTGAGGAATCTAATTAGTAAAAGCCTCTTCAAGAGAAGAGTTTTACATATTTAATTCTTTCTATAAATTACCTTTTCAGAAACAAAAACCTTAAACCAGTATGAATGATTCTCATAAGCACATTCTAGTCCTTTCGTGACTAGAATGTGTTTGGTTGGACCACTTAGCAATAACTACGCAGGTCAATTTATCACATATTAATATTTGAATTGTAGGCTTGGGGGAAGGGGATAAGGAAGAAACCAAAAACCTTCTGCAGAGGTAGCATTTCAAAACTAAACACAATAAATCACAGCAAATGTTCCTGAGTCTCAGATCAGCATTAAGGATCTCTTAACATCCATAAACCAAGAGTTTTCTGGCTTAATTCTTGTAGAATCTGCCTCAAATTTCAACTTCAGGAACTTATTTCTGTACCACTGTTGAGTCAGTCGATCTCTTTCAGAACCCTATGACCTAAGACCCAAACCTAACTCATTCAGGGCCTTTAGTTCCTTTTTCAGTTAGAAATTATTACTCAGACTCCACCAATAAAATTTATATGGAATAATCCACCAATACCCGTATACTCCATTCCTTTAAGGTCTAATTTCACAACATAAAACTTAACTGAAAACTTATTCTGTAACAATTCTACATTCTTTTCCTGCATTTTACTTGCTATCAAGGGGGTCTCTTTAGATTTGCCTATATGTATTCTCCAGATGGTAGGGGATTTTAATATCAAATTCCTACAGTGGGAAAGTCAGGATATATACATGAGAGAACTTAGCAAGTAAGAGTAGACCCCCCAATTACAGGTGGCAGGTGCTACCCAGGACCAGCTGAGTCCTCCACAGAAATATGGGCCCGGTGTTGTGCTAGCCCTTATAATTTTAAGACAAAATCTGTTCTTGTGAAATTCCCTAATTTTTAAATAGTAGCAAGTACATACATGCACACATGTGCACATGCACACACACACACACACACAGACAAATCCCACCACACAGGTCAACTATGACTGAGGGCCCAATCTCACCCAATCTGACAGCTTGTGGCCTCTGCCATACAGAATATTTAAACTCCAATCGCAGCAAGCTGTACTTGCTAAGGGCAAAATTTTAAAAAAATAGAATTCTACTTTGCAAAAGAAAATCCATCCAGAACAGCTCTGTTTTCAGCATGTTTCCTTTCCCCCACCCCCAATCTACTGTCTAGTTCCCATGCTGAAATGGCTCAGGTGCAAGCTCTCTGGATTCCCCGTCCCCTTAGCCAATGCCCAAAAGAAAAAGAGGTTGGGGTGCTTTGTCCAATTAAAACATTCCCTGAAGGCAAACTTGTTTGAGCTTCCCTGATCCGTTCCTAGTTATAGCATTCTAGGGATTCCTGCATCAAGTATTCAAAAAATACACTATGTCCTCACTAAGCTAGAAGTATCCTCAATAAGAATAATTTTCTATAAGAGAAACTCGAAAATTCCAATGAATCAAAAACGTCTGACTTATTTTCACAGTCTCAGTGAATATCAGACACGAAAGAAAACTCAGACATCATTAGCCCCAACCCTTCATTCTACTGGTAAAGAAACTAAAATTCAGAAAGGTCAAATAATTTGTTCAAGGTTATATAGTGAGTTGGTTGGTAAACTGGGATAGAACCCAGGTTACAGGTTATCTGACTCCAGTCAAGTTCTCTTTCCATCACACTACATGGTAGTGAAAGGGCAAACTACAAGAGGGAAATCCCATAAAGAAAAGAGCTTTTCATTTCACATCTCACAACACCTTCTTCACTTACCACATGACTTTACCAACCCTAATTACTATCTACCAGCAGGTGACATCCTTGAAGAGGGATAAATAAGAAAAAGAATATTGTTCCTAGTTGCCAATCCATCAAAGTTGCAACTATTGATCAGTGTTGCGGTAGTTTGTATCTTAGGTCTTTGATAAGGGGTAATTTTGACCAAATTTCCCCCTTCTTTGCTGTATTCCTGGAATTACTCTCCAGAGTGAAATCCCCGATGTCTGATGAGGCCTGAATTACTTTTAAATGTCTTCTCACATTCAGTACATTCATATTCTCTCCTTCCGGTATGAATTTTTACATGCTCTACAAGAATTGAGCTTCGACTAAAGGTTGCTCCACAAAAGTCACATTCATAGGGTTTCTCACCAGTATGAATTCGGTGATGTTCATTAAGAGATGAACTCTGACTGAAGGATTTCCCACACTCTTTACATTTATAAGGTTTTACACCCGTATGAATTCTCTGATGACGGCTAAGGAGTGAATGAGTAGGGAAGGCTTTCTCGCACTGGTTACATTTGTATGGTTTTTCTCCTGAATGAAGACGTTGATGATAAATGACAGATGTAAAATGGCTAAAAGTCATCCCGCAATCATTACACAAATACGGTTTTTCTCCAGTGTGAATTCTCTGGTGTCGGGTAAGGCAAGAATTCTGTCTAAAGGCTTTTCCACATTCACCACATTTATAAGGTTTCTCTCCAGTATGAATTCTCTGATGTTTGGAAAGGGATGAGCTATGACTGAAGGATTTTCCACAATCGTTGCACGTATAGGGTTTTTCTCCAGTATGAATTCGCTGATGTTGAATAAGAGAGGAACTATCACTGAAGGCTCTCCCACAGTCTTTACATTTATAGGGTTTTTCTCCAGTATGAATTCTCTGATGTTTAATTAGGTGTGCACTCAGGGTGAAACCTTTTCCACAATCATCACATTTGAAGGGTTTCTCTCCACTATGAGTTCTGTGATGGGGTGTGAGTGATGAACTATCACTGAAAGCTTTTCCACATTCATTACACATATAAGGTTTCTCTCCAGTGTGAATTCTCCGATGTTTGGTGAGTGAGGCACTATAACCAAAGGCTTTTCCACATTTACTACACTTATGGGTTTTTTCCCCAGTCTCAGTTCCCTCATCTTTGCTTAAATCTTTTGAACATTTTTCACATGTAGAGATTTTTTTCTTAGAAAGGGTTGACCTTCGAATAAAGATTATCCCACACCTACTGCACTTCTGGGACCTATCCCCCAAACGAATTTTCTGACGTTTCTGCTGTTCAGTGAGAGATGAAGAGTGACTTAAGACTTTCCCACCTTCGTTAGATTTCCGTGACTTTTCTCCAGCATGTTCTTTGCGGTTCAGAACAAGGTCTGAATGAAAACTGAAGGGTTTCTTGTGTTCATTGTACCTCCGAGATTTCTTCTTTAAATAGACTCTCAGATGTTTAATTAAGTCTGAAGTTTCTCTGAAATTCTTTCCAAAGGGGCTCTTTTCTGGGTCCACGTCCCTACTCTTACTGCCTCTCCCATGAGTTTTCTTTCTTTTTGAATATCCCTGATTGCTGTGATCCTCCTGGGATCTACCATATTTCCGAAATCCTCCCATCAAACCATAATCATAATCCCTGAGGCATCTTTCTATTATTTTCTCTAAAGTCAATTCTTCCAAAAGAGCTTCATGATTTTGAGCAGATACCAATTCACCTGTAGTCTCACGCTCTAAAAGAAATAACAGATAGAATATTTCCTGTTTGCAATAAAGGAAACCTGCTGTATTTGAGACAAATAAAAACAGACAGTGATGACTGTGAGGAACACAGTTTGGACAGTTCTCAAATAGAGCTTTATAAAATAGGGAAGAGAAAGGCAATATAGGGAAACAAGATAAATGTAGGCAATAAAGGAAACCTGCTGTATTTGAGACAAATAAAAACAGACAGTGATGACTGTGAGGAATACAGTTTGGACAGTTCTCAAATAGAGCTTTATAAAATAGGGAAGAGAAAGGCAATATAGGGAAACAAGATAAATGTAGGAGTTAGAAAAAATATTGAGGAAGATGTAAAGTTTGTGCTTCATAATTAGAGATGCAAGTTCTCACTTGCATTTCAAATTTCTATAGCAGGTTCAAACTATTCTCCCTTTATGCAAATTTTTCTTTTTCCAAACAACATCAGCACACTCACTAAATACTTACCAAAGGCCAGGTTCCACACCAAACACTTTACTTTCTTTCTTTCTTTTTTTTTTTTTTTTACTTAATCTTGACAACACTCTATGAAGTAGGTCTTAATATTATTCCTGTTTTATGGATGTGACAACTGGGTGGAAAGAGTGTAAGGTGACCAAGCTTGCCCAAGGTCACATGTATTATAAGTGGTAGGGCCAGATTTTTAACCTGGTCTGAAACCAAGGCCTGTGCTTTTGATCTCTATAACATACCACCGCTCCTCAAAGCAGACAAATAGCACTGATTTTATAGAAGATGTTTATCACATCACAGATATGCAATACCACCTGTGCTAAAGGTCCAACGTTTACCACATTCTGGCCCTATCAACCTTACAGATACTCTAATCAGGCATCCATTTCCTGTCCATCCTACACTGCAGCATTATCAACCCTATTCTTTTGCTTTTAACACTTCCTACCAACTAGAATACAATCCCACAGCACCCTCACTATCACAAACAAATAAACTTGACAGTGAACGAGGGTCAAGTCCGACAGTCTCCACAGAGATTTCTCCAATACTAAACTCTCTCATTGATTATGCTCTTCCCAGAACTTTGAATTCATTTACTAACCACGTTACTCATCCTGGCTTTTAATCAAGAGGTAACATTTTCACTTTTATAAAACTACTTTTTAAGCAGATAACTATAAAACACAAAATCACTCAAAATCCTATTATGCATAAGTTAACCACTGTTAAAAATCCTGTGTATTTTCTTCTAGAAATTTTTCTATATAGTTTGGAATAGAAAAACTGTACATATAATACATAGTGTTACTTTTTTTGCTTATAATTATTTCCCATGTCATTGGTAATGCTTTATACAGATGATTTTAATCAGTTACAAGATAATCTGAGATAGAAATATATTAGTTTATTTAGTCATTCCCTTATTGATCAAATAATTATTTATCATTTATTATTATTCCTTATTCATCAATCAATACTTCCTCAAAAGAAAGTCATAAAAGTGGAATTAGTGAACCAAAAGGCAGAAAGCTTACACTGTTTTACATGACATCTGATGAGCAGAAGTACCTGAGTACTCATCTCTGGACAAATTATCTTTCTCTACATCTCTGCAAATCTGATAAAATAGTATTATTGCTTTAAATGTGCATTGAATTATTTACCAGTGAATTTCAATATTTTTTTCACGTTCACAAGCTTTTTAAATTTTGTCAGGTATCTACTCAAGTTTTTTCCAACTATTTTTCTTTCTTTCATTTTTTTTGTTTTTGTTTTTGAGCCTGGCCAGTGTCAGGGATTGAACCCTGGCTGGACCTTGATGTTATCACGCTCTAACCAACTGAGCTAACTGGCCAGCCCATTTTTTCACCTACTTTTCTAACAGACTTAAATGTTCCTTATCGATTTGCATGAGCTTTTTACAAATTATGGCTATTGACTCTGCTTTGTCTAAACCTTTTTTCTCCAGTATGTTGTAAATGACTTTTTAAAAAAGCTATAAATCTACATGATGCTTTTTACGTAAGCATCTTGGAGGTAGGGACATACACAAGGATACTTCAGAAAGTTCATGGAAAAATAGAATTAAAAGATAATACACATCTTTCCATGAATTTTTTGAAGACCCTCGTATTTACAGCAATGCTGCCAGAATTACTTAAAACACTTTTAGACTCCATTTTTGAAATTACTCTCCAAAATGCTACTCAAACATGAGAAAACTATTGTCCTTTACTTATGTAATTATATTGGAAACAGCCAATAGACTTACTAAAACTAATGGTTTAGAAGATGGAATAGAGAAAAATGGATTTTTTTTTTTTTCCCCTTTTTGTCTTTTTTACTGACCGGTAACGGGATCGTAACCCTCGGTGTCGCGCCCGTACCAGGGGCCGGCAATGGGATCGCAACCCTCGGTGTTGCACCCACACCACGCTCAGCCAGTGAGCGGGAACCAGTCTTCACATGGGATCCGAACCCTCGGCGGGAGCGCCGCTGCACTCCCAAGCGCCGCACTCTCCAGTGCGCCACCGGGCCGGCCCAAAAAATGGATTATTGTATTTTTCTTTAAAATGAACATATCAAGGTATTTATATATATAATGATTTTTTAAAATTAAAAATATAAATGTATTTATTGTAAAGTTTTAAGAAGATACAGGGAAGAATAAAGAAAAAAAATTTAATTCCTCAAAGATAACCAGTGTTAACGTAAGTGTTTTTCAGGTATTAAATATCTACACATATCTATTTTTTTAGACATATACGTGTACACATACATTTTTTCCCCTTTAACAAAGATGGAATTACTATAGATGTTGTCCACTGGGTGAATTCCTATTTATCCTTCAAGATTCAAATCGAATGCTAATTTAGCACATTCTCCTCTATATTCCCTTAGCTCCTTATACATGTCCTTATTACAGCATGCATAACATTACTAATCCTTTTTGTTTTAATATCTGTCTCTATGATGTCCATAAAAATGCACCTCTCACATCTCCTCCTATGGGGAGACTGCGTGACAGCCCCTGTCGCTGCTCAATGAATATATCACTGCATTCACACCAAGGCCACTTTCCCACGGGCTGCTCCCAGTCAATGACGGAGTATAAGGATACTTAGGCAGGCCCATTTCTCCCATCCAAGTACTAACTAGGCCTGACTCTGCTTAGCTTCCGAGATCACATGAAATCAGAAGTGCTCAGGGTGATATACCTGCAGACCAGCAGGCCCATTTCTGAGAGACTCAGAGTCCTCTGAGAGTTGACTCAGGCTCAGTACTTTCTGGCCTTGTCTAAACTTTCTAAGACTCTTCCAACCCACCCTTCCTTCTTTCCCTGTTTCATTCACAGACCTGCATCAGGCTCTGAAAGCTCTCCTAGCTTCTTTCAACTCCTGCCCCCTCTTCCTTCACTGGAATTTTCTCCCATAAATTTCTTGCATGGCTAATCATGTCCTCAGAGGACCCAAACCAATAGTCACTCCCATTAAAATGAACATTCCAGGAAGGCAAGGGTTCTATTCTAATTGTCTTTACATTTTAGTATCTAGTCCACCCAACATCTCAGGCTCTTCCCAACAGACTTGGTAAACAACTCTTTTCATTTTCTTGTCTACTTTTCACCAACTTACCTGGTCTGGAGCCTTTTGTGCCTTCTTTTTCCAGCAGCCGTGGCAATTCAACCCACTTTAGCTGGGAAATCAAATCTAATTTGGAAACTGGAAAGCCTGCTCAGAGAGAAAAGAATAGAAAGTGGTTGTTTATGCACAGAACAAGGACATCCCAACATTCATATGGGCAATTCAACCCACTTTAGCTGGGAAATCAAATCTAATTTGGAAACTGGAAAGCCTGCTCATAGAGAAAAGAATAGAAAGTGGTTGTTTATGCACAGAACAAGGACATCCCAACATTCATATATGGCCTCTGGTTCTCCAGGATCAGAGATGCTTTCACATACACAGACATCATGCCAGAATTTGAGGAGAAAATGGGGAAGCTATGGCATTAATGACAACGAAATGCTCCACATTTCCAATTCAAAGAAACAAAGGCCTTTTTTTTGAAAAAACACTGTAGAAAGTATATTTTTAGGATCCTTTTTAGGATTAGTCTTACCAGTCCCTGGATGCTCAGCCAAGGCAAAGTTAAAGTACTTCACAAAGCACTTATTCAAGAATAGGGGACAAAAAGATACCCAGCTTAGACACTAGATAATGAAGGAAGATGTCCTTACCCACAAATTCTAGGTTCCTTAAGTTTTCCAGTAGGACTTCCTTATATAGCTCCTTCTGAACAGGCTCCAGCTTCCTCCATTCTCCTCTGGAAAAGCTCACAGCCACATCCTTGAATGTTACAGATTCCTGGAAAACCAAACACAGTCCTTCTGCATTGGATTATTCCCAAATAGACACTAAATATTAGAAGCAGCAGTAAGGATATAAAGTAACAGTTTTGAGAGTATTCAAGTTTGTAAGGATTTCTGTATAATACCCTCATTCCCCATCACTTTTAACAGTTGGATAATACTCCCTAGCAGAGTAGCTATTACATGACGATTACAAGTTATACAGAACAAGGGTATTACACAATCCCTGCCTCTCCCATTCAGTTTCTGATATTAAATGCTATACAAGAATTCTCTGAAATGTCTAACATTGAGCAAGTTCACCCTAACACTTGATTTCTAGGACTGAAAGAAAAATATTAAATAAAGGATACAATTTATATTCCCAAATCCCAAATTCACAGAATTAATGTAAGCTAACTACAGGTACTAATGAAATACGTAAGAATAATATCAGCAACTACATTCCAAATTTTACCTTCCAGTTAGACAGCAATTATTTTCTATCACAATCAATAAGAATCTGTTTTCAATACATACTCACACTTGAAATTGCTTCACAATTAGAATCATACTTACTCATTAAAATACACTTTCTGTAACATCCTCAGCATGGCTTTTTGAGAGGCAGTATAGCAGAATGGCTATTAGCACTTGTATTAGCTTCCTGTAGGTGCTCTAACAAATTATCATAACCTTGATGGCTTACAACAGAAATTTATTCTCACAGTCCCAGAGGCCAGAGACCTAAGATCAAGGTGTTGGCAGGGCTGCACTCCCTTCAGAGGCTCTGGCAGAGAATCCGTTCCTTGCCTCTGCCAGCTTTGCGTGGATTTGCAGTTCCTTGGCATTCCTTGGCTTACATCCCTATCATGCCAAATTCTGCCTCCCTTTTCATATCACTTCCTCTTTGGGTGTTTAATGTCCCTCTGCCCTTCTCTAACAAGAACATGTGTATTGGCATTTAGGGCCCACCCATATATAATCCAGGATAAATTCCTCATCTTAAAACCCTTAATTGAATCGCACCTACAAAGATCTTTGTTCCAAATAAAGTAACATTCACAGGTTCCAGAGACTAAGAAATGGACATATTTTTAGAGCCATTTTTGGCCTACCACAACACTATTATTCACTACTGTGAATAAGAATTTTTTTTTCCTAAGTGGTAATTATTGATTTATAGGAAACTCATTGATTTGAAACCAGCTGCTTTTCCCAACTATTATATGAGTTTCAATACTTGTTCAGTTGATTCTGTGGTTTGCCAAACAGACGGTAAGCTTATATGCAAATAATACACATTTGCTTCATTCATAACAACATTTGTGTCTCATTTCTTTAACTTACTGCGTTGGCTAGAATATTCAGAAAATACTGCTTGATAGCAGTTAAGTTAGACATCTTATCTTTTACTGACATTGTAAAGACCACTTTTTATTTTCAAAACTATCCAGCTGGAGATGTGCTTTACCATGTTAAGTAAATATAATTTTATATCCCCCTAATTTTATCAGGAGTAATTGCTGAATTTTAATAAATGTTTTTGTCTAATTAGAGTCAGACTTGTGAGACGTTCTGTGAACTGAAATAAAAGAACACGTGAAAAATGAGCTGTAAATTCCTTGTAAGGGAGACTGTCTTCATTACCTTTGTGTCTTCATACCACTCAGTAGGAGCCCAGTTAAGTATTCACTGAAGAATGAAAACTAGGGGCTGGCCAATTAGCTCAATTGGTTGAGTACAGGCTTGTAACACCAAGGTCAAGGTTCAGATCCCCATACCAGCCAGCCACCGAAAGACAAACAAAAATACTCAAAAAGAATGAAAACCAGTAAAAGGAAACTTACACAGGACTCAGTACTTGGAAGAACAGCAACCATTTTATCTTCTTCCGAGTTTTCCTCTTGAGAAACAACAGAATCTTGAGAGATCGGATCTAGAAAGAGGGACAAAGAGTCTGGTCTTTCAAATGGATTCCTCAGACTAAAAATCTTTATATATGTTCCCACAATATGTAGAAAATAAACGAACCAGTTAAACCAATAAATAAACCAGTTTCTCCTACTATACTCTCATCACACAGAACACTTCCGTGACTACAGATGTGTGTGACTCCAAACAAGCAAGTCTGCAATGGATTCCCCAGCAGACACCAGTTGGTGTCCTCTAACCATTCTTCCGACACTATCTACCTGAAGATAGCATCAGATCCCACAGGTTGAGGGCTCAATCCCACAACTGTCCCCCATTTCAGACAGAAGTCACAAATCTGGGCCTATGGAACTTCTAACCATCCAGCTATAAATCGGGGTTCCCAAGACCCCCTCTTCTGTTTTGAATAATTTGCTAGAGTGACTCACAGAACTCAGGGAAACACTCTGCTTACGTTTACCCATTTATTATAAAAGATATTACATAGGATATAGATGAACAGCCAGATGGAAGAGAGGCACAGGATGAGGTACATGTGAAGGGGAATGGAGTTTCCATGCCCTCTGCACCCTCCAGGAACCTCCACGTGTTCAGCTATCTGGTTACAAGCTCTCTGTAACCTTGTCCTTTGGGGGTTTTATGGAGGCTTCATACACAGGCATGACTGATTACATTACTGGCCTGGCCAGTGATCAACTCAACCTTCAGTCCCTCTCCCCTCCCCAGAGGTGGGGGCTGGGACTGAGTTCCAACTCACTAAGCATTTGGTTGGTTCCCCTAGCAACCAGCACCCCCATCCCCATCCCATGGTTACGGAGGGACTTTTCAAAAACCACATCATTAACATAAACTTGTGGGGCTGAAAGGGGCTCGTTATAAAAAACAAAAAGACTGTCTTTCACCTTCATAGCTCTGCAGCTTTTCCAGGGCTGTTTCAGGAACCTAGCACAAAAGGCCAAATATTTCAACAAAAGACACTCTTATTGTTCTAGTAACTTAGGAAATTACAAGGGTTATTGGAGCTATGAGCCTCTCTGAAGATAAAGGTCAGAAGAAACAAGAAATGTTTTCCCACTCTTTAGAAGAGAGAACAGCCACAGATACAGTTTCTTATAAAAATCAGATTTCCTGCATTCCATATGCCCTCAGTTTTACATTTAATTGGCACAAGTTTTTAAATATTTCTGACTTATAAGATGTATAAAATAGTATATTCCTTTTCGCTATTAATTTATTTTCTTCATAGTCCTAGCCCAATGCCTTGAGTCACTCAAAACCGGTTACTGAATGAAAGCACCGAGCTGATCTGAAGAACTGATTCCACTTCTAGAATCATCAGCAGATTCCTAAAGACAGAATAAAACCAGGACTCATATGAACTAAATGTACTAAATACCCTCCTCAGATGTCAACAGCTTTTTTTCAAGTAAGTGAAAGTATTTTTCCAAATCATACTCTACCTTCATATGAAAAAACAATTTCAGGAAGTTTTATAGATTAGTCTATCAATAAAAATTAAGAACCAGAACCAAGGGTTTGATCCCTGTACTGGCCAGCCACCAAAAATATAAATAAATAAATAAATAA